GATCATGGTTAAGTTCTTCTTGAGTGTTCATGTTGAGCCCTGTTGGTTGTGGTGTGGGCTGTCGTTCTTCCTGATGAGAGGAATGAGTTTCAACACTGTCTTTGGAATGCTCATCAATACTCTTCGTGTGATTTTCAGAACGTAATTCTGACATGGATTCTTCCTCTTGAATCATTGTTCGTACATGGGCAGAAGCTAGCTCAAGATTTTGTTTTTCGAGCTCATGAACGGAAAGGGTCAATTCTTGAAGGGAGAGAGTTAAATTACTATTCTCAGTGATGAGTCCTTGTGTTTTCAATTGACATTCTTGAAGGTGATCGTTAAGGGCGGATAGTTCCTTAATATGGTGTGAATTTTCTTCGCTACTCTGCGATTGCATATTGTTCATTTCAGTCATCACTTCGTTTAATCTAGATTCCAATTCTTCCACATTGTTTTTACATTTCTTTTGTTCTTCGACATGTTCAAGTTTGGTTTCAATGACAATGGAGGAGAGTGTTGCAGATTTGTCTGAGCACTCCTTGAAGAGTTTTTCTAACTCTGTGACATTCGATGAACATTCTCCAACTCTCAAAATTAATGCTTGTTTTTCATTGCTTAAGAGTTCAATTTGTTTTTCAAGTGAAGTCACTTTAAGGATTAACTTTTCTACTTGTTTGTCCTGAATGAGTTTTGTCTTGTCCTCACGACACAAGCTCAAAGCAGAAAAACATTCACGTTGTTCCAGTTCCATATGATTTAACTTTTGCGTAATTCGTTGGTTGTTTTCTGGCATTGTTGTTTCTTTTCCAACTTATCGAGGAATATTTTGAGTTGACCTTTGATTTTTTCATTCTCTTCGTTGATGGTCTCATTGAATTGACCCATGTAGGAAGAGATTTGAGCAATGTGTTGGGCAGTTTGTTGTAGCTGTGCTGATTGTCTAAGAATTTCTTCCTTTTCGTTAAGCATTACACGTAATGTTGTTTGTTTCAAAGTTTCAATTCGCTCGAATTGTTCTGATTTCTCGTGTTTGAGATGAGTAATTTCCTTTTGAAGAGTTTCTATGAATTCTGCTTGTTTTTTCATTTCTTCTTGATGGGTATTGTGTAATGAGGATATTCGTTGTTCGGCAAGTTTTAAATCGTTTTGCAAATTTGTAATTGTTTCTTCTTGCATTGTTTTAACAAGTAAAATTTGCTGTATTTGTTGATCTTTCTTTTCAATAATACTAGTGGTAGTTTGGTTTAAGGTTTGCAAATAATCTTCAAGCAGTGTCAAATTCTTTTCAAGAATAGATTTTGTGATTTTTGTGATTCAGCAATTTCAGTCAACGCGTGTACTTTCTCCTCTAGCTCTGAGATTTGGTCTTTGTGATTCGAAATTTTATCATCCTTTTCCAACAATTTTTGTGCAAAATGCTAATTTCCTCATTCTTCGTTCGAATGGTATTTTTCAATATTGATTCTGTCTCGAGTGAGCTCGAAATATGCTTCTCATTTTGATTTTTCAATTGTTCGATTTGAATGTTCAAGTGAGTAATTTGCTGTAATAGTTCCTCTATTTTGTTATTTGTAATTCGATCATTGTTTAGTTTCAATAACAAGTTCTTGCCTTGAGGTGTCACTGCAAGCATCTCGACTTTTCACTCACTTTAAATAGAGAGTATAATTCATTCTTGATATCCTCTGACACTATTGAAGAATAATCTTTCAAAATATTGTGCGACTTTTTGATAAGGGAATTTGTTCGAGAGCAATGAGCCCTTAATTTCAAACTCAAATAAAAGTTCACACCTTTCTCTACACCTGGGATCGCATAAGTTTTTGAAATTGAAAGCAAAATCTCTCTTGCTATTAAAACCTCCACCACGGTTTTTGCACACGAAGAATGTCGTGTCAAGTCTGTTTTGTTTCGTTGTGGTTGTGATGAATCCATCTCTTCTTCCATTAGGTTTTCAATTTTTTCAATAAGCTCACCACTCATCGGGTCCCACAGCTCCCTCTTCCTTATCAATTCTTCCTCGAGTTCAATTGAATTCCCAAACTAAGTATTGGAATGGAATGATTTGTACCGCACTTGTCTGTGGTGGTGTTGGCATATTCCGTAATGAGGTCTTGTACGATGCGAGAAGCCTTTTGTTCGTGCTCACTCTGAGAACCCGAATTGGACAATAAACTCGAGTAAAATTCCGTAGCATAATTGAGCGTGATGATGTGTGTGATCAATTCTTGTTGGCATTGAGTATTGTTGTTTTGAATGATTTCCGAGATGAGAAGAGAATCATTCATGGATGATGGAGTTTGTTGTGGTTGTGGTGGTTGTTGTTTCATTTCATCGGGATGATTGTCTAGCCTCATCATCTCATGGGTCATACTCTGAATCACGAGTAAAACACGCTCCATTCTTTCATATCCACGTTCACGCGAGTGCTTGAGAAGAACTTGTATCATCTCTTGGGGCAATCGTTCCATCGGAACTCGCAATACCATGTAGAAGGTCAAGGCCACGAGCAGAAAGAGAAGTCCACGAAGAAAAGGATTGTTGGGCCACATGTTTCGAGTCAATTTTTTGTGTTGCTAGTGTCATCTTGGAGTAGACTGTGAATTCTCTACATGTAGGTGCATTAATGAGGAACCTTGAGTACTCCATTCAAGGATTGGTTCTAGTCTTGCGGAACTGTCAGGGATACAAGATGGTCGATGAATTGGTGAAGATTTTTAAATTATAAATATTGTTAAAAATACACAAAAATGCGAAGATCATCTCGAGGAAAAAAATAACACAACACCTCCGCTAGGTGTTCACCTTGAGCACCCTTTATCACCACCCAAAGAACCATCTCCGAATCATTAAACTTAAATTTAAAACTTATCTCTCCTCTCTACGAAGTACTGTACTGATTTGGTACCGTACAACTACCACCGGTTATAAGTACTGAGATTGTTACCGTTGTGATCAAACTGTAATCAAGACCCTATTACGATGGCAGTTATTAAGATCAAAGCGCTATTGACTGAATGGTATTTAATCAGACCAACAAGATCAGATTCGTTATACAAATTAAAAAAAAGAAGAATAATTCAATTAGGATGCCCAGCAAGATCGGTAAAACAAGACCCAACCATGGATCCAATCATGGACCCAAGCACTCTAGCTCACTTCAATCATTAAGCGACTACATTGCTTCTGCTAGTTCATCTGTAGATAATGAGCCCAATTTGACAAATAATCTCAACCCTACTCACAATTGCTCTACTAGTGTTGACACTAGATTGTACCCAACTATTGATCCAATAGCTGATGAAGAATTGGCCGCTAAAACTAATAGTATGAGCATGAGTAACCAAGACAACATTGAATTGTTGGATAATGAGCTGACTAATAACCTCAACATACAAGACATGTCAGTTGATGAAATTGTTGGTAAAACTTTTCTCAAACACAATAATGCTAAACTAGATACAAACAGAACTCTTCTTGACACTGATCAGATTTTAGAAATTGTATCTGTTATTGCTAGCCCACACAACCCTATGACCTTAAATTTCCAACATGTTGTAAAAGCCACTCTCAGAATACTCTCTGATGACATTAAATACGAAATCACCACAGAAAGAAAGGCTTTTAAAAACCATAAAGACAGAAAACATGTTTGGGAGTTATGGAAGGAAAGAATGAAGAATATTAACAAACTATTATCTGAGAACAAGAAAAGTAGTAATGTCCAACAAGACAATGAAGAATTCAACATCAATGACATAGCAGTGAAGGAAATCACTCCTCCCAGATATATTGCTGTTAGATATAGCAAAATATTTGAAGAGAATGAGGTAATTGAATTAATTAAGGACAAACTTAGTGGCAAATATGTCACCATCAATCCGATTATTAAGCTCAATAATACCATAATTGTCACTATTGAAGATTGCGCTCAAGTAGAACAGGCAGTTGAAACATTACGTACAAAATTTAAAGAAGTCAATATCACTTCATCATGTGAAAACGACACCAACAAAATTATACGTGTCCATAATATTCCAATAGGAGAACTATGGAAAACTACAGTCAAGGCAGATTGGAGGAATGCTATTGAAAGCGATACTGGTGAACCCATTGTTGAAATTGCTACAGCTAGAATTGGTAAAGAAATGGCAGCAGTGATCACTGTCAAAAGTATGAAAGCCAGAAATAATCTATGTAAGACAAAAACATATGATATCACTATTCCTAGAACAGAGGAAACAGTCACTATGAAAATCGACATACCATTCAACTATGCAATGGATGTACAATACTCTGACATCATTGGTAGATGGCCTGAAAGAAATGATTTGATTAGAGCTAGAATACAAACGGAATCCTCTCTTGCCAGAAAATACAATAATGACCAACCTGTATCCATACTTATCATCAATCAAGAGAAGAGAATATGTTTGATTAGACTCAACAATCTATCTAATGCCATCAGATTGGTAAACCATGCTGCATATGGAATGAATGAATGGACATTGGATTTTGCTCTCAATTATCCAATGCTAGAAGATTTCCTGGAAAAGAAACCTGATACAGTTCACAAAATTTCACAAAATTTAGGCAGATCTTCTAAAATTGCAGCGAAAGACGTTTCCTTTACTCTTGAAAAAGTGCAACAAGATCACCTAAAAGAAATCAAGAGAATTGAAGCTTCTATGGATAAAAGAATTGCAGAACTTGAGGCAAGACAGAATCAGAAATTGGCTATGGGATTTAAGGAAATGGCTAATATTATCAGAGCAAATAATGAAGAATTAATGATTACCAATAGAATTGCTACTCTAACATTTCTGTCTGGTTGTACAAAAGATAATACCAAGAGGAAGATATATCAAGAGGAAATTGATGAGTGTCACAAAAAGCTAAAACTACTTGATTCACTTCAGTAGCTCCAGAATTATCTATTCTAACCCTCAACATTAATGGTCTCAGAGCAGAACCATTATCAGCCCTAAGAGGCTACCTCAACTCAATCACTCCTGATATAATCATGCTCCAGGAAGTTAAAAGCGTCTACATTGGTCCAGATTTTCCCTCTATATATTATTCTTCATTTACATATTATCACAATCCAAGAGATTCCTGTGGTGTATCTATTTGCCTCAACAAAAGCACTTTCAAAGATATTGAAGAAATCATCTTAGATCCGATCATTAAGAATAACGCGCGAATTATTGGCGTGAAATGTAAAATCAATTCAATTAATACTCTAGTAATTTCTGCGTACTTTCCAAATCAACCAGCTGACAGATGTGAATTCACATATATTCTTGACAACCTAATTGAAAAATATCCTAACTACAAAATCATTATT